GGTTTAGATCTGTTTATCAGTTCTGTTAGTGTACAGTCAAGTACTGTGATAAATTTCATCATACTTCCTAGCACTGGGAGCTCAGTGCCATATTCCACATGTAAATCACGTGAAGCTTTTGTCATAGTTTCAAGACCTTACAAAGCTTTTGTAACCAGGCTTTGAACACCTATATAAGGCTTGGCCAGATGCATTGCACAGATTGAAGCCTGTATTTCTTTCCAAAAGTAAACCCATGATTTCCTGTTACACTTCAGGTATGTAATGGGATTTGTAAGCAAAGAGAAGGAACGAATTTTGCTCAAAGACAAGACACCAGGAACGTTTTTATTAAGGTTCAGCGAAAGCAATCTGGGTGGAATTACCTTTACTTGGGTGGACCAGTTAGAAAATGGTAGGTATAATTTTAAAAAAATAATATAAACCTCAAACCCTGCAATACACCTGTAATACAGGAGCCACGGTTTCTTTGGTTTGAAAAGTAAAACTCACATGTATCATGTCTTAGTATGGTTTTGGGCAAGATACAAGTATCATGTTTACTGTAACACAAGCCCAAACTCTGAAAATCTACCTCTCAGTTCTTTGTATTAACTATGTAAGTTCATTGCGAGGTGTACCTGCTTACTGCAGGCTTTAAACTTCTTTCCACGTGTGCACAAAGTATAACTTGAAAGATATTAACATTGGTATAAACAGGTAAAACCTACACCAGGGTAAACTGCAAAAGAAAGGCAAAAATACATTCCCACTGCAGATGCGGATCTACCAGTTATCAGCAGTTACAGTGCCTTTGTATTTTTACAGGAGACGTAACGTTTCATTCGGTGGAACCCTATAACAAAGGTCGCTTATCTGCACTGCCTTTTGCTGACATACTGCGCGATTACAAAGTTATTATGGCAGACAACGTTCCTGAAAACCCTCTGAAGTATCTGTATCCAGACATTCCCAAAGATAAGGCCTTCGGCAAACACTACAGCTGTCAGCCAAATGAAGGTTGGGCTCCATTTCTGTGTTTACCCTTTCTGCAAAGCAGCTGCAAAGTCAAGAGGCAATTTGAGGAACGGGGGGGGGGAAGGGGAAAGGAACAGATTAAGATGCCTCCTTTAATCAGCATCTTTAAGAGAACTGTTTCAACGCGTGTCTATCATTTAGACAGCTTCGTTTTGCAAATAGTCTTAGAGGTCACACCAGAGGCAATGACAACAATATTTAAAAGAAGCTAAAAAATAGATCTTAGCGTAGAAAGAGTCAAAAACTACGAATTTTTTCCTGGCCAATGCATTACAAAATTCAGCACTCAGGTGTTCAAAGGAGATGAAACTGAAAGTCATCCTGCTTATGGCTTTGTAACTGTGTAACACTCTAGCATGCTGTCCCTTTAATTTCAAGGAATTCTGTATTTTCCAAGCAGCTTGGAAGACCAGCTTTATTCCAGCAGTATAATCCCTGGCAACTGCAAAGGAAATTACAAAAAAGCTAGTCAAGAATGGCTCCAGATACGTTCAGGCCCATTCTCTCTCTTGTCCAAATTATAAGTCAGGTCATTTTTAGATCAGACTCGCTCTCTCAAAAAAGCCCTCAAAGCTTTGATTTATTTAATAGATGATACACATTCTTCTGGACTTTCAGTATAAAAGGTTACATTCCATTTAATTTCAAATTCCTACA